CTTCTACTAAATAAATTGATTACCTTATCCTTCCCCACTTTGTTACAAACATAGATACTAAAATTTTTCTTAGGTGCAACGTTTATCGACCTTATTCTAATTCTTAAATTCCGGACCTTCTTATCAGGTATCCGACGAGTAGTTCTATCAATTCCTTCTCCTAACCTGTCAGCCATATCTTGTAACTTAATGAAATCCACAAACGAATGCACGCGTATTAATACTGAAGTTAAAAAATCATAAAACCTTAATAATTTTAATAGAATATATGAAGACCAAGATGTTATGACCTCTGTTATGGTCGCAGTCTCCTTTCAATTTATAGAAGTGGGTTGACCACGTTGTCGCAACTTGGTCTTGTTGTCAGGGCGACTATGCAGAACGCACCTAGTCCGAAGTCGTCTGTCATAGTAGTTGTCATGATTCCCAGCATCTCACATCCAGTTAGGAACTCGTCAGAGACAGGTGAAGTCAATCCCTCGACAAACGTTCTGCCGAAAACGGTTACAATGACAAAAAGAAGAGTGATAGTGTAACCGCTTTCGACAGAACTGTCCTAGAGGGATTGACTTACTTGTCTCTTTGACGAGTTCGTAAATTGGTGCGGGACATGGTTAAGTTCACTAATGATGCCGACTACGATGGCGGCGAAACGTTTGAGAATGTATCAAGTCCACTGTCAGATGCTGCGAATCATGACAGCTACTATGACAGACGACTTCGGACTAGGTGCGTTCTACATTGTCGCCCCGACAACAAGACCCAGTTGCGACAACGAAGTCAACCCACTTATATAAATTGAAACGAGACTGTGACTATAACAGACGTCATAACATCTTTGTCTTCATATATTCTATTAAAATAATTGAGGTTTTGTGATTTTTTAGCTTCAGTATTAATACGCGTACATTCGTTTGCTATTGTTTAACTAACTATTTTCCTTATCAAAATGCAAGGCTGAATCGTTCGAATCTTTAATTAAAATATAAGGAATAGTAGTTTATCAAAGGAAATTAAAAAATAAATGTCAATTCTATCAACCTACTTGCTGCCTCCTCAGGAAGCTTTCCGCCTGGAGCAGGTGTCGCGAATATCAACCTCTTTTGCTCACTACGCTGGCAGCAATGCCGACAACAGGTTAGGATAATGTCATCCGCTGTCTGGGGCACTTGTCCACCGAATCCTGATCCAACTGCGCCGGTATCCTGTGCGGAAAGACCTGTGCCAGTGGAGTAAGCAGAGAAATCTGGCTTACAAGCAACCTCGGTTCTATAGGCGATGCTTTCGAGTAAGTTGCCACGTGAGGTCATCGCTCGGAGACGACTGTTACGCGCCTCGAATTGTGCCTCGAGGTAGGCGAGAGCATCCCGCGCACGCCGTTGGATCAAGCCAGAACGGGTTACTTCGAAGGAGTCAGATAGGAGCAGTTGGTGTGGGTGGCCAGAGAGTCCAGTATTGGACGATGATGAAGATTGGAGGGATGAGAAAAGCTCAGTGCCACCTTGGTTATTGCTATTACTGCTACTCCCAAAACGGGATAATGTCTCCAATTCGTTTACCACTAAAAAAATGGTTCAAAAAATGAATAGAAATAATGATTTGAAATTCAATAAACTATTAATATCATAGGCTTAAAAAATGGACCAGATTTTGCAAAATTTCGCTGGAACGATAAAAAATGTTAAATAGCTCCTAAAATCACAAATATGCTAGAAAATGGGCAAGGAGTTCAAGCTCAAATATTCTATTTAAAAGATACATATATATAATTAAAAATAGAATTGTAAAAATAAAAAACATTCTGGATTTTTTGCCCAGGATAATTAATGTACACGCAAGAGATATCAAGATGTAAGTATTTATATTATTTTGACGCAAATAGCCTTTCAATAAAGAAATTGCATAGCAACCTAAATAGAACAGCAAATTGACATGAGTTGAAGATAAACAGCCTTATATTCCTGCATGTTATAATTGAATGCATAACTGATTGTTTGATAGATCATATCCCTAGTAATTTTACTGGCCCATTCTAAAGAATCAAACGATTTGTGATAGATAAATCTAACAATAATTGTGGAGGTATCACATGATTTATCCTCGAGTTAAAGGTGACTTTAGTAAACAAAGAAAGCGTGAATCTGTATCAGCTAGAATAATTAGAATAATGTTTAAAAGGTAATAATTATGTAAATTGTGCTTCAGAAAATATAAACCACTACTTTGCATCCTCGAATATCAAACAATTGAAGATATGAAGACCAAGATATTGTGGCCTCTGGTATAGTCGCAGTCTCCTTTCGATTTAAAGAAGTGGCTTGGCCTCGTTGTCGCAACTTGGTCTTGTTTTCATGGAGACTTAGTAAAACGCACCTAGTCCAAAGTCGTCTGCCATAGTAGTTGTCATGATTCCCAGCATCAGACAATGGACTTGGTACATTCTCTAACGTTTCGCAGCTGAGAATGGCAAAGCTCATTGATGATGCCGACTACGATGCCGTCGAAACGTTTGAGAATGTACCAAGTCCATTGTCTGATGCTGGGAACCATGACAACTACTATAACAGACGACTTCGGACTAGGTGCGTTCTACTAAGTCGCCCTGACAAGACCAAGTTGCGACAACTAGATCAACCCACTTCTACAGCCCAGCTAAATTTAAAATATAAAAGATAAAATATCAGGCAAATTAATTGATATTTAAAATAAAAGAATGACTGGGTCTTTGCAGAAAGTAAAGCGAACCTATGATTGGCACAATGACTGTGTAATTAGATGTGACTGGATCCGCGAGCGCAGCAATTCCCTCCAACCAGTCAATGTAACAGTTGGTGTCTGGTACCAAGTATACTGGACGAACTTCAATCTCAACTGCCATACCCAAGATTCCTATAGACTGATGTCCAGTAGATAAATCGGCCGTTGCAGCTCCTCCAGAGCCCGGTAGACCAGCGTTACATCCCGTACCAAGAGAGCCTGCTACGCTTCCACTATCCGAAGCACTGAGCTCACGCAAAGCCCGCCGCCGCCAGAGGGCGAGTCGACGCTCTTCAGCTAGACGACGTTCTAAGAGGTTGCGTTGACGTCTTAACTTAGCAATCTCGGAATCTGTCTCCGCAGGCTCCTCAGAAGCGACTCCATGAGCATCACTTGAGACTAAAGAACATACTAAATCAGTCTAAAAGTAGAGAGGAAATGAAGAATAGTTAAGTTTATTGGTAACGGCTCAGGCTCATTTTTTTATTTTTCGATTAAATTTGAGCCATCAAAAAGGTTTAAAAAAAATAAACTTATTAGTCATGAATAAGAGAGCTCTTCATTGTGTTCAGGTCTGGCCTGAATCCAAGGTGAATAAGACACATTTAGTAAACCTGAGTTAAAATCTTCAACAATTATTTTCATTACTTTATCATCAGGGCTCTTAGCATAATGAATGCGTATATTTTATTCAAACAAGTTTATTTTTTAACAGCCTATTAAACTTTTCATCTCAGCTTCGCTTCATCTGCTGTAGTCGGTAGTAGCGAGTTACCTGCGCAGATATAGATAATTTTTTAAAAATAAAAGAAATAAATTTGCCGAAAAGAAAAAGCGCTTTTAGAACTTTTTTCAGCCAAGCTTCTTATAAACACTTTTATGAGATGCGACTTAATGGAAGCAAGCTAAATATCAGACAACCAGAATACAGTGTTATATTTTTTAAAACTGGTCTAACCTCGTTTAGAAGAGCTGTCCTTAATTAAGAAGGCTAAATAACTTGCTTGATAACAATTTTTACTTGTAGCCAATTACTCTTACAGCACCGCACCGCTAACGCTTCGTCAAAGACATCATTGAGATGAGTCATTATCGGCGCCAAAGGAAAACATGTGAATGAGATCGTAAACGTCCTCTGTTGAAAGATAATAATATGTCATAAATTATCATGGATCCTCTGTCAGCCATGCATACTTAAGCCTCTGACTGAATCTTATTCGCTGTCCACCCTTTATAACTGATGTTTAGGAGAGATCCAAAAGAGCATTGAATCACCCTTAACTCAATCATAAGTTCGATCGTAAAATGTAGAAGACAAGGATGATTAAAATAAAAAGGAATGCTCGCTATCTAATCAAAATAAATATAGAGGTTATATGTGCAATAGCAGTAGAACCCCCACCAAAATATGATGCGTATAATACTGTAAGGGCTATCTTGCATACGGAGGTATTTTGTACTCACATTTCTTGAGGTCTCATTTTCGGCTATCTCGCCTAATTTGGAAGCAGGGATATTCCGAGTCATTAAATTGCGACGATGTCTGTCTTCTATACGTTCCGAGGCCTCGCGTTCCACAGCTGCAGTGTAAATGTTGCGTTTTACGTCGTAGGCTAACAAGGGGGGCTCAATGCCACACAAGTAGTCCCCAAACAGCACTAGCTTCTCCATTCTGATAAGGTGGCCAGCCTCAAGGCAGGTCGAGGCTTGACCGGCAACCGGGGCATAAGGAGAGAGACTCAATGGAAGTCCACTAAATTGATACATCTAAGAATCAAGAGCAGATATGATTTTTATATGCCATAAATTAAACAAGCTAAAAAGTAGTAAAAATAGTTTATTAGATGATATAAATAGAGATAATCTCCCCGAAATGTCATGCATAACAATAAATGCTACTTTTAATCTTTATAAAAGAGTGCAGAAGTAAAGAAGTTGCTAGAACTTGTCTCAGCAACTTGATCATATTGAGAGGAAGACCTAGAGGAACGCACCTTGTCTGTAGTCCATAGTATTTCCAGAGTCGGGACGTGGACTTTGTGCATCCGCAGAAGTTTCACCACCATCGTCAGTGAGCCTTGCCATTCTTAGCACCACACTACAAATCATCAGAGATCTTTGACCAATTGTCTGCTAAACAGTTATATTATCACTGAGAAGTCCACGGTCCGACTCTGGTAATTATCAGGCATTCCGTAGACTCAGGACAAGGTGTGTTCCTCTAGGTCGTCCTCCAATATGACCAAGTTGCGAAAAAAAGGTCAAACAACTTCTATACAACGAAAGGAGACCGCGACCAAACAAAAGGCAACACCATTTTGGTCTTCATACCGTCGATTATACAAAAGTAAAGTTTGAGGCTTCATGAAGTTCACCGTTATGTTACAATCTCATTTTCTGAAGTACTCATTTGTGAAACATGTCTAACAGAATTTCTCAAGTTTTATGTAAATTGACTCTGCAGAATAGCCAAAGGAGGTTGAGCAAATATGCCAGATCGAATCAAATATGTGATTTAACACATTTACAGATTGGATTGTGATTAATCTGGTGGCCTTTTAAATAGCATTGTCTCCCTAAATGTATTGCGACCAAAGACTAAGAGCTTCACATCAGTTAATATTTATTTTGCGAATTCTCTAGTTAGATAATTTACGAATAAAAGATAAAATTGAAAAATTATATGATTATATTGCTTCTGATTGAAGTTTGATCATACTAACATGATGATGCAAATCGATTACCTGTTATACTAAGCTAAAATAAATAGATAACACGTGTTTTTAAGCTGAAAGATAAAAAGTATAAAATTAATACCTTGGGCATCAGATCGAGCATTGGCTTAAAACCAGCCACACATGCTTCTTCAAAGAGGAATACAGCATTCAACGGACAGAGACCAGCAGCCTCTGGAGATAAACCTTTCATATTAGCCTGTTGAACTCGGAGCTGCAGCTCCTCACGACCATCCACACCAGTCTCAATCTGCCAAGCTGGTAAGGAGGGTTGCTTCAAACCCATGTTTGAAACGATTGCATCCTGCCCCTCAATGTAGTCAGAGGTTAGTCTGGAAGGGCCCCTTTTCAGAGTAGAATGAGTCGACTCCAATGTTCTGCTGTCACTTGCATCATCTAAGTGACCAAGATCTCCTACAGCAGTCGGGATTGCTGAAGCAGAGATGGTGCTTTTATGGAGTGCTGTGTTGGATTTCGAAGTTTCTTCTGCCAAGTAAAGGGCCATAGCAGTGGTTAGATTGACTTCTTCATAAGATAGCGCTTTTTCAGGAGCTGGATTACCCCGTGATTGATGTAGGGCACGCTGAATAAGAGTCAGTACAAAATAAGATAAAGTAAAATTAGAAAGGAAGGGAGATAGACCATAAATGTCAATGCAAATTTAAGAATATTCTAAATATCATAGGTGATTTGATAAATTCATCCGATATCAATGAATGCTGAACTTATGCTAGCTGCAGATTTCGTGCTTTAAA